CTCACATATTTAAGTTGTAAAGGAGGCTTTACTTGCACCAATATCAGGTATTTGTGTTGTTTCATTACATCATAAGTCTGAATTAAACCCGTATAATCCTTGAGTTCCTTTAGGACTGCTGAACTGTTCACTTGAGTAAAAAGCAGTCGACAGCAGTCATTTTTCTAACCGATATTCGGTGGTTATATACATATATAATCTTAAGATGAATGTTACTTATCTATACTATAAATTTGTAGAAAAAAATCTGTGTGTAAGCGGCTATCTCTCCACAACGCGTGCACCAAATTGCATGCTGTTTTTTTCTTTAAGTGATAGCCAGAGTATGTGGCATTGTTTGTGGCAAAAGTTTTTAGTTTTCTATAAATAGATTTCTCGAAAATTAAAAATTAATCAAAATCTAAAATTTGGTCCAAAAATGTGTGTTTGAACGCATGTTTCATTTTGAGTCATTCTGTAGAACAGAACATTTTATGATAGATTTTGTTTTAAGACCTCTAGTCACTTTAGTCAAGGAAAATTGTGTTCTTTATTCTGGGTATAATGATCGTTATTTATGACCCTGTGTCCTCCACTTTCTTGTATATTCAAAATTGGGGATATTCGCGATTATTGTAGGGACTGTAGCGGGTGTAGCAACATTTTGGGGAAACACTTGTCTCAATGTGACATAATAACAGGTCTGAACACAAATTGCTGTTGCTCTAGCTTTAATACAGGGGCGCCCACAGTCCCAATTCCAACCGATTATAACCCATAATTATGGGTACTTTTCCTTTGACGTTAATTTTTATTTTACATAAAACAGTTAGTGTTATGTCGAATCGATCTCTACTGTATATCAGCTCTAGGCGGGCACATTTGCCGAACAAATTTCCCATAAGGGAGAGGTCTTATTATTTTGCACACGTTTGTATTTAACGTTTGTTTCATTAAATCGTCTGTAAATAAATGTTCAATAGAGTGGAATGTGGAATATTTGAGTATATGTACTTGTAGAAACAAAAGTAATCCCCATATTAGAACAGCTGTTGTTTGAGCTGCCTAAATGTTCGATTTCAAGGTTATGGCGACTGAAATCATGAAAGAAACGACTTAATAAGCGCTGTACCTCATTCAATAAAATAAAGTGGCACAATTTGTATATTTATTCAGCTGATAATCTCTCACGCAGCAAAAAAAAAAAGAAGAAAAATCTTTCAATGAATGTGTCCTTGAATCGAATGGGAATAATAACCTCTGAAGGGTATTCTGAATTCTTAGATCATTTAATATCAACTTTAGGTACAGGTACTACACTAATTATTACATTCCCCTCAATTAGTGTGTGGGGATGGGAAAATATGTCGCTCGGGGGGGAAAATGGGGGGCGTAGACTTGGCACGAAATGAAACGAAACCAGAAAACCGCAAACTAATGAACGGACTGGCACTGGAGCTGTGCTCTGTCCCGGGATTTTGGAGCACAGGGCTGCAGACGGCGATGATGACGACGCTGGTTTGGACGTTTGTGGTTTTGTCGGTCCGACAGGGGCTGGCGGTGGCTCCATGGTCTCTGGAGCTTACCAAAGCCGTCGCCGCTGATGTTGCAGCCCCAGACCTAGCCACTGCCACTGCTTCTGCCATTGCTGCTGCTGCTGCGGTTTGCGGTTCTTTTTGTGCCTGGTGCAATTGTTCCTGCTCCCGGAGGCCATGACATCAACAGACATAGCAACACACACACACACAGATACATACAGATGCTCACAAGTATTTTCCAAAATGGCGATTGGCTCCCCGCCTAAAGATAGATACACACAAACCGGTAAGACTTCAACGCCCGCGGGTGTACGCTGCAACGTGACGCAGTTGCAGAGATGCAGGAATAGGAATAGGCATACACATACACATACATATAAGCAATATATGTACATCTATATATGGATAGATCCAAGATTGATATGGGAGTGGGCGTGAGCGTGGGCGTGGGCGTATATGCACTGCCAAAAGCTGACGCAGCTTAAAAATCTGCTTACCTTACGTCTCTCGCAGACTGGATTCAACGTCAGTCTGTCTGTCTGTCGCTTTTCAGGACATTTGCGGCTTATGGGGAAACTCTGCCAGCGAGATGAATCTCGCCTCCCGTACCATTCCATTCCGTAGGCGTATAAGCCTATACTCCTCTATACTCCCACATGGCAAACGCTTCAATTTAAAGTTACGTCAATACTCGTTCTCTCTCCCCGGTTAACACACTCTCTTCTTGCTGTTGCCGTTGCTCTCTGTAGCCCGACTGCACAATTTTTGTTGTATTGTGTGTTATAATCCTCCTTTTGTGATCGGATTATGTCCTGTGTAGCACCTAATCCCCTGGCAGAGGGACAGCGGTGAAAGAGAGCAACGCACAGACGGTATGGTACGTCTGTCTCCCTTCCGTTCACCAACTGATCCCCCTCCGGAGTCGCAGTCAACTTTAATTACGCACTGGACGTCGATGGATGGATTAGTGCAGCCCAACGCCCCCTTGTCCCTCCCCGGAAAAGCAATTAAAATATGTATCCCTCAGACGAACGCTGACCCGGGCAACGGGCGAGACAGAGGAGTGAGACGAGGACAGGTGGCGCAGTGGCAACTAAGCGGAGTCAGGTAGCGCTCGCCGCCCGCGTGTGGAAAGTGAAAAGAAGCATTTTCCAAAAGATCTCTCCAAGCAAGATTGCAGGGGCAATCAAGCTAATTAGAAATTTAATTCTTTTTAATTTTTTCTTTTTTGTTTTTGGTAATGTGTTGCTATTCCGGTGGACTTCAGGTTCACTTCGTCGTCGGTCGTCGTCTGTCTGGCCACTCCAACACTTTGCTTTGCTTGCATATTCTCATCAAATTAGAGTTAATTGTCCATCATTAAAAGCAAATTCTAGGAATTCATTTTACGTTTCGTCGGAACAGCAACAACAACAACAAAAACCATCATCGAAACGTGGTTGTTGGAAACAAAATGGCCGTCACTCTTGAGTTTTTTTTTTTTTTGGCTATACCCATTTATTATGGTGTCAAATAATTTAATTGCCACCTGTCGCATGCATGTTTCCTTATAAATAATATATACTTATGTATACATATATACATATATGTGGCCTTGTCGAGGGATGTTTAAATGCATTCAACTGCAATGATCTGCCACGACATATGGTATTATTGCCACAGTCTGTTGCTCCCTTCTTTGACAGCTGTCACTTTTAATGACTTTACGGCGCCATTTTGGAAATAGGTAGAGAATTAATAGCTTCGCTTCGTTCAACTTCAATTTTCTATAATGGAAGCGCAAGAATTTCCCGAATAAGCCGCGGTTCCATCCCTGAATTTTTGATTACCTACAATAATCTTTATTCATTTCGTAACTGTATATGGAACGCCATTTTGCAGTGGTCAGCCATTTCTTTATCGTTGTCTGCCGTGCTGTGCGTCCCCTTGTCATATGCGACACCTCCTAAAGTGATTTATGTAGGTACTTTTCACTTAAATGCATTTCAAACCACTTATTGTCATCCTCTCATTATCCGAAATATGCCCATTAAATTATATATAGAGCAATGCAAAGGGGGATGGATAGATACTGTAGAGTCTACAGTGTAGACTGTGTATGGCCCAATAACTTGTTGAGGGGGATCTCTGGGGGCTCTGCTCAAGACTACAGTAAACACAATCGTATTCATGATTGACAGACGGACTGAATGAGTGCATGTCATTCCCAGTGCCTGCCTTCCTCTGCATCTGTGTCTGTCTGCCTGTGAGTGTTAGTGTGTGTCCGTGCCTACTCCAAAAACTACACTCGAGGCAAACATTTATTTGCACGAGCTACAGGGGAAAAAAAACAAAAAAGGAAGGTGGCACTCGGAACATGTCTGTCGGAATCTGAATATTTAGAAGAGCCTCACGTTCGGTGGAGCGGCGCTCAAGCGCGACGGCCAGAGAGAGAGCAAACAACACAGACACACATACACACACACACACACACACACCCTTATACAGGTAAAACGAAGCAGCTGCAGCTGATCTTGATGGAAAGGGAGACAGATGAGAAACTCAGTGTTGCCGGTTTCGCCTTTTTCCCGCCAAACGGGATTTTTAGCAGTCTTTTAGATGTTGCGCAAATGGAAAAGCTGGTCAAAACTTTTGGTCAAATTGTATAAGTATATAATCTTAATCAGCATTAATAGCCAAATCTTCATGTCTTCTCTCAATTTTGGAATTCAAAATATCTTGATTATAGGATGTATAGGGATCAGTTGGCCTTAAAAATGTGGCAGTAAACTATGGGTTTTTGGACGCTATATACCGATCACTAAACTTATTGATTTGAGCACTATCTGTTAAGAAGCAGCTCGGCAAATAGATACGTACATTTTTGACTCTACAACTATTCGTCATCATTTTAGAAACATATTCATTGTTCCTAATGGGATTCCCATTCATTGACACAAAAAATTGTCCCTCTCATTTATTGCTACATTCGTTTGCCCTTAGCTTTTTTCTGTCGTTTACCGCTAAAATAACAATTTTGTTTATTCTTAAAAAACAACAACACTGTGAGGAGGCAACAAAAAAGCTCTTCTGGAAAGAGCACTTTACTTATCTCTGTGCGTGTGTGAGTGGGAGCGAGCGAGGATGATATTGTCGCCTCGCTCTGGAAACTGGTAACCAGAAACCGGGCAACGTGAAGCGGCACGAGACTCGCACACGAAAGTGAAACACATTCGAAATTTGTTTGTATGCATTGGCATGGGAAAAGATAACAAAATATTATTTTGCACGAGACGAGAGTGAACAAAAAAAAAAACAATTGATAAGCCACACCCCCCGCACATCAGCCGAATCAGCAAGAACCCCAGACGTTGACCCAACTAACAATACATGCACATAGGGGATAATAGGTATGCCAGACCGGCTCTTATCACGGCTGAGCACGTGCGATTTCTTCCAGGTGGAAATTAACCTCAATATGCTGATTGCAAGCTACTTTCTTACCCGCTTCTCGGCGCTGTCACAGGGATTGCCCACGGAGGATGTGCTGGACGAGGACGTGGATGTGGTGGCGGCGGCACCGCTGCTGGCCGTTGACGTGCTCTGCATATTCATCTGCGGCATGCCATCCGACGGGCCCGTGTCCAATAGCTCCTGTTTGATTCCGGCTATGAGCGGCAGAAAGTCGTTCTTCAGATGATGATCCAAGTCCAAATCCATTTTTGTGGGGGTATGTCTCTTCCGTTATGGTATCCGCGTGGGTGTGGTTGGTAGATGTGGGCGGCCGTAGAGGCTAATTATAGCTCACTTGCTTATAGACTCTGGGTCTGGTCTCTCACCAGCAGCAGCTGCCCTTGTGGAACATTTTTTGCGCTGCAGGATTACAAATTAGTTTTTGTTTTGAGAATTTCCTTAATCCATTCCGATACATACACACGCGCACTCAAACACACACACACACGCGAGCGCGCGACCTACGAAAGTAACGGGGACGGGTTGTCGGGAGCGCGGGCGGGCGGTAATTGAGGTAGCGCAGCCACAAAAACAACGCCAATTTACGTTTTTAACAGAATTGGTTTCACTTTCGCTTAGAATTTGTTATTGTTGTGCCTGTTCCACAGTGGCTAGTGTCATCTGATTTGGCTTTTAATTTGAATGAATTTTCATTTCACCTTCGACTTCGATTCGACGCTTGCTTTGCAAAAAAAATTTTCTCTCTGCGTTTCGCACCAATCTTCTCACGGAGCGACAACTACAACACAACTTTCATTTTATACGTCCACTTAACTTCTCAATTTCTCGTCGTGCACGCACACATTGCAAAGCATCGGCATTTTGTTTGTGTTTGTTTTGTGGGGGGTGCAATTGTTTATTTGTTAGATTTGTGGATTTATTACCATAAATTGCTACGAAAACACACGGGTCTCACGGCGTTTGCTCTCCTTGGACGCTTCTTCTGTACAAAAAATTTCAGCCATTTTGGATTCAATTAATTCATGTCGGCGTTGCCGGACCGCTGATATTCAAGGCTGCTGAACAAACGGCCACACTGGCGAATATTTTAAAATATTAATTAAATTATGATTTAAGCGATAATTGAGCGGCAAAGCAATTTTTATAGAGCTAATTAGATATGTGTGCCACCTTAGTTATTCATTCCTAATGATACATGATTTTTTCTTGCAACAGCTGTTCCCGCAAAACGAAGAAGAAAAGCCATACACGTGCGGGGGTTTTTTTTGGTTCCACTGCAGATTCAGTCTTCTCTTAATTTAATGTTGTTTAGCCATATATTGAGCAGCTACACGAAGGCAGGTTAATTACTATTAAACAGTGAATTAAGCAAGCTCTTAATCAAGATCTCATTCACTTGTAGTTCGCCTGAAAACACTGTTGCTGACTGAAAGCAAACATTGCCATCGCTACAAATCGTTTGCTGCCGCCATGTCAGAGGCCCTGGACAAGCTGGATCTGGATAATGCGGCCAGAAGGGCAGCCAAAGCTGTTGAGGATGAGGCTGTGAAGGATACGAACCGCATCAAAAGGAATTTAAAGCGCAAAAAGTGGGTGGACTGGAAGACGCAAGACGATGAAGAGGCGGCAAACGGCACCAAACGCGCCCCCTTCGATCCCGCCGATCGTATAAAGCGAAAGAAAAGTGCCATACTTTTGAGCTACTGCGGTGCCAACTACTATGGAATGCAGCGTAATCCGGGCATGCAGACCATTGAGGAGGAGCTGTTCAAGGCCATGCTGAAGCACAAATGGATAACGGAGGACAGTTACGACCAGGCGCAGATTGCCTGCTTTCAGCGTGCCGCCCGCACCGACAAAGGTGTGTCGGCTGCCCGTCAGATCTGCTCTGTCAAGCTGCGTAAGTGCCATGGACTTTCTGCAGCCTGTCTGAAATACTAATCAACTTTTGTTCAGCCGAGGAGCTGGACTTGGAGGCCTTCAATGCCGATCTACCTGAGCAGATCCGTTTGTTTGGTGTGGAGCGCGTAACCAAGGGCTTCAATGCCAAGGATCAGTGCAATGCTCGAACCTACACGTACACATTGCCCACAGTGGCCTTTGCCTCCTGCGAGGCGGAAAGCGACCAGGATACGTTTCGTATAACCGCAGAGCTGTTCGATAAGGTGAAGGAGACGCTGAAGCTCTACGAAGGCACGAAAAACTTTCACAATTTCACCAGCAAAAAGTTAGCCCGCAGCTTAAATCATCTTCCCATCACAATGAATTATTTATGTATATTTTTCGTATAGAAACTTTTTGGACCCATCAGCCAAGCGCTTCATCATGGGCTTTACAAGCAGCGAGCCCTTTCAAAGTCCACAGGGTGTGGAGTTTGTCACGCTAAAGGTGAAAGGCCAGAGCTTCATGTTGCATCAAATCAGGAAAATGGTTGGCCTGGCCATTGCCATTGTGCGGGGCAACACGACGGCCGTCACACTGGAGAGGGCGCTGACAGAGGAACGACTGGATCTGCCCATGGCTCCTGGCCTGGGCCTAGTCCTGGACACTGTTCACTACGAGCGCTATAACGAACGCTATGGCAAGGATGGCATACACAATCCGCTGACGTGGGAGGCGCAGGAGACGCAGGTTCAGGCCTTCGTTGAGCGTCAGATCTTTAGTCAGATTTACAAAACAGAAGCCGAGCAGCGCAACATGCTCGACTGGATAGGCACACTGCACTTCCATTCGTACGATACGCGCAAGGATGAACCACCGCCGGTAGCGGCGGGTGGAAAGTCCAGCAAGGCAGAGGACGACAACGATGAGTAATCATCAGCCTTGGGATTATGTAAAACAGTTTTGTTTAATTAGTGTTTTGAATAAAAAGGCATTTCGTAGGCTTAGAAGCGTCCGCCCTTCTTCTTCTTGTGGCCGCCCTTGCGATGCTGTTGCCTGGGCCCGGGGGTAGTCTCCTGAAAGACGGGCGTCACGGGGGAATTCTTAGTTATATTCACGCGGTTCGACATGTCGCTGAAAGGAAACGAAGGGGAAAATAATTTAAAAAAAAACTCTTTGGAATCCTCCCTAAAGTCGCCACTCACTATTGATCGGCTGCGCCCGAGGCCATGCCCTGAGAGCCCTTGATAACGTCCTTGCCACGGGCACCACCACGCTTCTTCCGGAATCCAGTACGCTCATACTTTGGCAGCCATCTCTCCGGATCGGGTGCCACCTCGGCATTGTAGTTCTTGGGCAGCTTGCCCTTGCGCTTCCGATTGTGGCTCTTCTTCTTATCCCCGGGAGTGGTCGGCGATGGTTCGATCTTGGAATTGGCCGACTTCTTGGCCGCCTTGGCGGACATGACCCAGTTGGCCGCCTCCAGGGCATCGATTTCGGAGGCTGTGGTTAATGTTTCCAGCGTGGGCAGCTTCCGACTAATTTCAAGCGCCCGCTTGGGATTGAACTGCGCGTAGGCAATGACCAACTGGGCCAGCACCTTCATGTCATTGGGATTGAGCTTCAGCAGCTCCTCCAACGAACTGGCTGCCGTCTCGGAAGCACCGCCGCGCAAATGGAACTCGGCTGCCTGACGCCACATGTCCGACAGATCGCCGCTGCTGACATTGTTCTTCTTGTACCAGTCCACAGCGGACTTGAGCAGGGCCGAGGCGGCCGGCTTGTTGTCCGTGCCCAGATAGAGCGAGACCAAGGCAGAGACAATGCCAGGCTTGTACTTGGCCTCGCCCAGCGACAGCAGCGTCTCAATGGCATCCCGACGACTGCCCTGCAACAGCTGCAACTGAATGATGGCAAACTTGCTGACAAACTGATGCGATTGATGGGCGGCCGCAAACTTCTGCAGCTGATCGATGGCCTCCTTGTGCTTCTTGTCCTTGCCCAGCTGGCTGCAGCGTATCAGCAGCGCCTCAAACTCCACGTGCGGATAGGTTTGGGCCAGCTTCTGGCTGAGCTGATGCACCTGATCGCTGGCATTCGTGTAGAGTGCCAGCAGGCAGTTGTTCAGGGCAATCACCTGCTTCTGGCGGGAGGTGAGCTTCGGTTCGCAGGCCTCGGCCATGGCGGCGCGTATCTTCTTCTTCGAATCGAACACATTCTGATCCTTGTTGATAACAACAGCATTGTTGCTGGCCACCGCCACCAGGGCCGCGTCCTTGGGCTTGTGACGCAGACACTCTGCGTAGATGGTGCTGGCCTCCTTGATCTTGCCCTGCAGCTGCAGGCAGTAGGCCAGCTGGACGCGTATAACGTCCACTTCCTCGAGAATCTCCTCCTCCGAGGCGCCCTCCTCCTCGAGGAACTCGCGGCACAGCTTCTCGCTGGTGCGCAGCTTGCGTTCCGCATCCGTAAACTTCTGGCGATTGGACTGGATGCAGGCGCTGTTGAAGTACTGCTCGTATGTGTCCTCCGGCACCTCGGGTATGTCCTTGCTCTTGTCCAACGCCAAGTTGGCTGCCACGGCACTGAGGTTAGTGCGTCGCTCGTCCTCGTACTCATCGCTGGTGTTCTTAATGATGTCCCTGTACGAGTCCAGGCACTCATCGTACCGCTCCAGGCGATACAAAATCTGCGTGCGCAACTCCTTGAGGTTCGGCGGCAGCGGCTGAACGCCAGCAGCATCGTCAATGGTCTTCAGTGCCTGCGCCTGCTTGTTCAGGCGGTACTCGCAGTACGACTTCTCAAACACCAGCGACGACAGGCGATTCTTCTCAATAAACTTGTACGCCTCCTCGAACTTGGATAGCTGCAGCAGGCAGACCACCTTGCAGTGGAGCGCCGTGGGGTCATCCGGGGCCACACCCAGGACTTGAGAGGGGATCAAGATTAACAATGGGAGCGAGCACGTTGAAAACAGCGGGGGAAAACTTACTGCGATTCACCGCCTTGACGGCCTTGTCGAACTCGCGATTGTTGCCAAACTTGTGCACATCGGCGTAGGCTGCCTTTATGACCGCCTCCTTGGGATTCGCGTCCTTCGACATGTTATCCTCGGACGTTATTCAGTTGTACAAAATTTAATTTAACCCTGGCGGACTGTGAACTTTCGCTTTTGACAGATTGGACAGCCGAGAAGACACATCAGCAAGACGGCGTTGCCAGCTGCCCGAATTTCAGAGATACGCCAAAAATGGCTAAAAAAAAAACAAGCTACAAATTCGTTGCCAGCTCTTGTGCAGTCGATGGCATCACTAATATTTTTTTAATCAATAATATACTTTTCAAAATGACCGCCAAACTCCAATTAGCGCACAAAAAATACTGACGTTATTCGGTCTCAATTCTTGGTGGTTTTTCAAAATTTTCTATCTTTTCCGAGGTGAAGAGAGCGCTTTCCCCTTATTTTCGTGGTGTTAGCCACATGTATCTTACATGTCTCTTATCTCAGTCTCTGTTTTGAAAGATATTAACGAAATTTTGCAGCTCAAGGGTTCCAATAATAGGTATCAGAACCGGGATAAATGTATTTATAAAACACAAACATGTGCATATATAGGTAAAAAACATGTCAATCTAGGATAAAAATAAATAATGTTTCAATGGAGCTTGGAACAAAACATTTAACATCAATAAAAGGAAATAAAGTATACAAAAGTCCATACGCATTGAAGAATCTTGCTTGACCATCAACAATGACGTCACATTTAGTCAACATTTACGTTTTATGCTTTGGCCGTTTTTGTTTGAACTTTAATATGTAAACAGTCCAATGAAAAAAAGTTCTGAAAACCATTAAATCTTGTAGAAAATTGATGTATCTATCGGATAAAATTATTTGTTTAGGGCTGAGAGGGCCAACTAGCTAGTAATATTAAATCGAATACCAAAATTATGGAATACGATTTCAATCAATAAAATAGAACGTTAGCCCATTGTCAACCAGGGGGGTATTTAATATTCCCACGAAATTTATGTAACTTTAACATATTTTACGCATTACAGGTGAAAGATGTCGGTTGTCATTTTTGTTTTGAAAGCAAATAGGAGGATATAGCTACAAGGAGCCTTTAAAAACAGTATTCTTTTCCGCGGTTTAACAAAGGGTGCTCATCTGCTTAAATAGAGGGGGGTTAAGCGGGCTAAGTCTCGTTTGTCGCCCAGATTTTGTTATCGTATGGTATTTAAATGGTATTTCTCGAAAATGAGATGGTATTTAATGGTATTTATTTTTTGGCCGGATGGTATTTTTGATCGTTCTCGTCACGGTCACGCTGCTGCCGACGCCTTCGAAATATTTTTGACCGACGTTTCACGTATTTTTGAAGTTTGGGATCATAATGTCTGCTGAAGTGGATTTCGTCAATAAAAAGGAGATGCACTTACGCACTCTGAAGCAGTCGGGCCATGTGGGATTCGATAGCCTGCCTGACCAATTGGTCAACAAGAGCGTTCAGAACGGATTCGTTTTCAACGTCATGTGTATAGGTGTGTATATCCATATATGTACGAATGCACTGTGAGTGTGTGTGTATGCGGCGGCACAGTGAATCAACCGAAGACAAGACGGACTTGTGTACACATGCATGTGTGTATGTATGTATGTTTGAAGTGGAGCTGGGAGTGGAGTGCATTGGACAGGCAGGGATTCCAAATATTGTATGAGATGACTCACGTACATGCATACACACTCGTACAAGTGTACATAATGAATTGGAATTGGAATTGGCGCAGACGGACGCCAACAAATGATTAACATGCAGAGGGGCCCTACCAGCAATCGATTTTCAATGCTGCTTTCTACAGATTTCACCCTGACACCAATGCCGGGCCTGGCAGTGTAGTGCCCAATTGAGGCTCACTTATGGCACGATTTCGATACACATTTTCACCCCTTTCCCTTTTATCCATGCAGGCGAGACTGGTCTGGGCAAATCCACACTGATGGACACACTCTTCAACACGAGCTTTGAGTCGACGCCCAGTCCCCACACCCTGCCCAGCGTGAAGTTGAAGGCCCACACGTACGAGCTGCAGGAGAGCAATGTGCGCCTCAAGCTGACCATTTGCGATACTGTGGGCTATGGCGATCAGATCAATAAGGATGATTCGTTCAAGGCGGTCGTCGACTACATTGACGCCCAGTTTGAGAACTATTTGCAGGAGGAGCTGAAAATCAAACGTTCGCTGGTCACATGCCACGACAGTCGCATCCATATATGCCTGTACTTCATCTGCCCGACGGGTCATGGCCTCAAGTCGCTGGATTTGGTGTGCATGAAGAAGCTAGATAGCAAGGTGAATATTATACCGGTCATTGCCAAGGCCGACACCATTTCGAAGGTGGAACTGCAGCGATTCAAGGCGAAGATCATCCAGGAGCTGAACACCAATGGGGTGCATATCTATCAGTTTCCCACCGATGACGAGACGGTGGCAGAGACCAACACCAGCATGAATTCGCACATTCCATTTGCCGTCGTGGGCAGCACAGAGTTCATCAAGGTTGGCAACAAGTTGATACGCGCCCGCCAGTATCCCTGGGGCACAGTGCAGGTGGAGAACGAGACCCATTGCGATTTTGTCAAGCTGCGGGAGATGCTCATTCGCACAAACATGGAGGATATGCGGGAGAAGACCCACACGCGACACTACGAGCTGTACAGGCAAAAGCGCCTGGAGCAGATGGGCTTCAGCGATGTGGACAGCGAGAACAAGCCGATATCGTTTCAGCAGACATTCGAGGCAAAGCGCTCAAACCATCTGGCCGAGCTGCAGTCCAAAGAGGAGGAGGTGCGCCAGATGTTTGTGCAGCGGGTCAAGGAGAAGGAGGCGGAGCTCAAGGATAGCGAGAAGGACTTGCATGCCAAGTTCGAGAAGTTGAAGCGCGATCATGCCGAGGAGAAGCGAAAGCTGGAGGAGTCGCGCAAGGCCCTCGAGGAGGACTATCTTGATTTTCAGAGGCGCAAGCAGCAGTTGGCCACGGCCCACCATACGCTCACGCTGGGCAAAAGCAAGAAGAAGTAAGCGTGCGGACGAACCGTCGTCTGCTCGTCTAAGCAATGTATTGAGTATTTTGTGCGGTCTGCTTATCCCAAAGTAATTATTGCTTTTTCATCTCGTTGTATTTCATTTGTACCATTAAGTTTACTTCAAATATTAACATATACACACACAAACACACCTACACATATGTACGCAGGCATATATGATTATTTACAACTAACGAATAAAACGAAAATTAGTATTTTAAACATAACTAAAACAAAACCCCGTTTCAATCGTTTAACAATTTAAATTCAATAAATCAGTGCGGCCATCTCCATAAATTTTTCTGGCCAAAAATCAACCCTGCGTGTGCAGAGTTGCCAGACTCCGAACAGCTATTTGCCACTCATTTCACACTGCAGCCTGCAGAATTTTGTAAGAACAAACTAAAAACGCAATAGAACTGCTATTGCAAATGCTGCACTGCGCAGCTAGTGGAAAAGAAAGCAAGTCTCGATCGAAATACAAAGCAATTAGCCGTGTTCAGCGTGTAGTATATGCGTTAAAAGTGGGTGTAAACGTCGTGCAAATCGTATACCCTCCCTCTTTGTGTTTGTTTTTGATAGTTTTTGTTTGTTACGATAATCGAATGGGCGAAGGGGTGGTGGCAAGGGAGCAGCAGCACAAGTGATTTTTCACATTAAGCATCGACACGGTACGGGGGAAATACAGACATTGCGAAAATGTCCCGCATAGTCCACACACTGACAGCGACGTTGATTTTCTACGCTTTTGTGCAAACAGGTATGGGCCATGACATGGAATCAATAACCCACTAGCAAGCCCCAAAACACTAATGTTTCTCCAATTGCAGTGACATGTTTCATGGTTCTAATAGATGCACCCGACCAGGCGCTCATTGGATCCACGGTGAACGTGACTGCCACGCTGTTCGACGGTGACAAACCAGCGCCCGACGGAACCTACAAGTTCATTTGGAAGGACAATGCGGGCCATCAAAAGGTAACGACAGCTATCCACACCGGGGAACAAAAGAATTCTCGGCCCATTGGCATGACTAATAATTAATTTGAATGGCAAAATGCATATGCGTCTCGTTTTAACTGATTGTCGGCAGCCATGTCGGTCGCTCGTGTGTTTGTTTCTGTGGGGCGTACGCTCATTTGTGTATGCCTGATAAAGCCACGAAAGAAAGCACGTTCACCTGCCCAAAACAAACATCTATGCGGTTCACTTGGCGAAAGTTTACATATGCCCGCCCCCAGGTTAATTGTCATAGAAATTTCCCGGGTCTAATTTTAAAATTGAAGCATGGCTTCGCTTCAATTGATATGGCGTCATTGCATTTAATGCTAATTTTATTTAAACGACAGCTTTTCCGATCGTGCCTGGTACGCTGTTCTATAAGCGGACCGAGCCGGGCCGGGCCCGCTTTTCCCCTCCTATTGTTGATTAATTTGCATTTCAAGCGAAGCTAACTATTGTATTATTTTATTGCAGGAGATTGAAACAACCAAATCCATTAGCAACTGGACACTGGAGTACACCAAGGAGCACATGCGACAGGGTCAGCGTGTCGTGCAGGTGAAGGTTGAAAAGTCCTATCTGTTTTGGATACCAGTGGGCGAGAATAAAACGAGTATTAAGTTGGATGACACTCTGGGCGGCAGGCTGGAGCTTATACAGGGCAATGCGTCGCAGCCGCACGACTTTGTATCCACGCAACTGGCAGTGAATCATAGCTTATCGTTGTGGCCAGCGGATGTCGAGTTTCTGCGGGAGAAGGGCTATCATATTCAGACCTACTGGTTCCAAAATTGCACATATCTAGGCATGTCAACAGCCCTGGACTATCAGGCAACATATCAGCAGGCTGAGCAGTACTATGACATTGAGGTTCTGGTCGTTGCTTCGCTGGACTGGCCGCCCGAGCCAACGCCTTCCACGACCACTACAACTACTACTACTACCACGACGACGACTACAACATCAACGACCACCAGTACAACATCAACGACCACTAGCACAACACCTGCCACCACCACAACCTCTAGCACAACAACTCCAGCCACAACGACCACAACCACCAGCACAACTCCCAAGCCCACAACACCAACGCGCGCCAAACGCGACTTAATCCAGGCCATGCACGCCAATGCCGCCATGCTTGGACTCAATTTAACCAACGCCCTGAAAGAGCAACAGCCGAAAGCAGGTTCCGGTTCCCCTTCGAACATATCTGTGGCCCTGGTGAATCCTCTGGGTGTACGAAGGGTCTCCCATCTCAGGGTGGTGCCAGGCGAGGAGCCGCCCTACAATTGCGTCGATAAAAAGATCATTGCCCAGGATGCGAGCAAGATCTATGGGTACTTCCAGCATCGCATTGTGTCCAAGGGTGAGTTTATTGATCCTGACCTCAAAGAAAACGTTTATTAAATTCTATACATTTTCCTGCTGCAGATCCGGTTGTAAGCTTTGGTACCACCGGCAAGAACTGGCTGCAGCACTGGGAGGTGCTTAGCCTAGATGTCAGCTGCAAGGGTTCGCCGCCATTCAATGTCTGCGAGAAGGTTTACAATGGTAAGTGGCTGCGCTCCCGCACCATTGAATAAACAAAAACAAACACAAAACTTTTGCGCCCTTTGCAGCACCCTACAATGCCACAGGCAATGAGACGTGCACCATTTATGATGTGTATGACAAGTGTGCGTTTAGCTACAAGCGTTACTTCTCCGAAAGCAAAACCATACTGTTTTTCATACGCAATGAGGTCTCGCAGACAGTCAATCAGGTTACCATCAACATGTACGAGGGTATGTATACATTTTTCTTCCGTTACACTCGCTGCAGTTTGTTGACCTCTTCTACCTTTGATACTTGCAGCCCAGAAGCAGTCTCAGCTTTCCGTAGTAGTTGTCCCAGTTACCTGTACTTTGATGGCCGTTATTCTCGTGGTCTTTGGCGTTTCGTACTACATACAGAGACGGAATCGGTGAGTGTTTAATCATCTTTGGAGCGCTGAAAGCGATACTAAATCATATAATTTTTTTACATAGTTTCACCGTGGAAGTGGCTGACTTCAATTTTGGGGACACACAGTCGGTGGATATGGAATACAAGACATTTTCGCAGCGCCTCATCGACAGCATACGCGATGTTTGGGCATGGCGGGGCGCACGCCGACACTCACAGTCCAGCACAGATCTCATGGCCGACGAGCCAACCAATTCGCAGGCAGGCGGCTTTGGTGGCAATGTCGGGGATGTGGACAGCAATCTGCGCTACAACACTTTCAACTAAGCGTGCCCGTCGGAGCAGTTCGGCTTGGTTGGAATATATTGTTACCTATACAATTTAATCAATTTAATTTAGTTTCTACTCTTAAGTTATATATTTTTTGTTATGTATCTCTGATGTGCACGTTCTTGTGCTTTTAGTCATTTTCTTATTGTATCAACACACGCCATTCACACACGGTGAATTATGGTGGAATCTATATGTAAATGTATTCAGATGATTGTAGGAGTGGAGCCTTTCTGTATGTTTTCATCTATTCCTTTCCTATATAAGCATCCCTTCCCTCATCCCTGTCAACATTTACGCACACACACACACACACACTTGCTCATTAATGGCCAAATGTCGAGTAATAATTACAATCGCAATATCGGGTGTGCAGCCGAAAATCCTTCGGATATATTGCACAAGAGACTGTCTTTGTTCCAACAGCAAAACTGAAAAATGGAAAATGATTTATACATTACATTTATGCATATAAAGTTGTTCGTAAACAAACGAGTTTATTGCTAGCATAAGTCAATTTGATTGTTCTCCAATATGTAACGTGATCAAAATTCTATAACAAAGTCACACACAACTCACGCATTTCACACACATTGAAACTCGCGTACACAAATATTCATTGTGATAGATAATAGAGAAAAACAGTATGTATGTTTAACGAAACCCGTATACTTATAAAGATAAATGCTATTAAACACAAATCGAAAACTCGAGTTTTTTTTAAATGAATTGTATAATTCAAACTCGATTGGAATGGGAGATGGCCAATATGTCTCTATATCGATAAGTACTTGTAGTTGCCGTGTAGCAAATGTGTAGTTAAATCATATTTTATGTAAGATCCAATCAATGGGATTACTTAATATTAGCAAATCTGGTAGCAATTTTATTAATAGGGATAATAGTGGATAATTGGATAAGTGTATCCTAACTTATATTTTTAGTGCTGAGGGTGCCATTGTCCCATTAGAGCTTTCAAACGATTGATAGTTGAGCCATCGATAGTTTTGAATGTTTTGAAAAAACAATCGATACTATCGTAATAGTATCGGGCTCAAATAATTATTAAAAAACCATTGAAACCTTTTAGGAACTTGTCCATTGTAAAAATTAGATGCCACCTGTCGATTTGTTTACAAATGTGTCTTCGTATTTTATAGCAGCCAATCCAAACATATCAAAAGCGCAACTACTGTACTGTAGCTCGATACTATCATGATAGTTGCAAAACCATCGATAGTAGAGGCTAGCAGTAAAATATCGATACTATCGATAGTGCCCTCGATGGTTTGACACCTCTACCGGCGAGTCTGGCGGTATATATATATATATATATAGACATATACAAATATGTTTTTGAATGATATTGGACAGCCCCTAATTCTAGATGCCCAGAAAAAGTATGGGCCCTTCGAGCAGGTAAGTAATTCCAATCCATTAGCCATATTTATTCTCACACTGTGCACTTTAGCACAACGGAGCCCTTCTCTTGACGTCGGTCGCCTTCAAAAAGCACGAAGTGCCCACCAAGTGGTGCAAGTGCATCATTGGGTCCGAGGAGAATATGCTTCGGCTGCGTTTACCAGACACTAAAGAGATTTACAAAAACTGTACTCATCAAGTTATAGCTCCCAACAAACCGACTAAGTGCTCTACGATCAAACGAAGATCACCTTGACGCTGTTTCCAGCAGGAAAAAACAAGTACGGGATAAATACGGCCATGCACTGCATAGAGAGTGAGTATATCCTGTACATTGTTGCCTCACAGTACCCATTACAACAGACTCCAATTGCAGATGGATACACCAGGGCGCTAATTGTGGATGAATTCTCTGGTTGTCTGGCCTGTCCATCACTTCGTCGTGTCCTCGCCGAACCCATTGACATCGTTTACGTTGACGACTTGCTGCTGGGAGATGAACAACCCATCCACGAAGATCTCTATGCCTTGGTACAGCTGATAAGACCAAATCACATCTACGGGCTCAGGCAACAAAAATTGCCCAAGTGGCTGCTAGATTTGTGCGTCCAAAAGGATCTTTACGCGCGTCCAATGGGCGGACGACCCATACAATTATAGTTCAATAACAAACGCAAGAAAATACAGATGAAAATGCATTTAAAACGAATAGCCTGGCAAACAGGCAACTAAATTCTTTACCTAAGCCCCGAATTAAAAACATAGCCCCAACTATCCCTTGGCCGCTTTGGCCTTGCTTTTCACTTTCTTCACACGCTTCAGGCCGTCCATTTTGCTCTTCATGAACTGCGAGTACATGCCCATCATGGTGGGCACATCCTCCTGGCGCACAACTGTGGAAATCTGTCGAGAAAGCATGAGATTTGTGTCAATGGACGCCGATATTTTACGAACTTTATTGTGTTTACCTTTTGCGACTTGCACTGGGCTCGCACCAGACACATGTAGACATCTGGCTTGGGTAGCGGTGGCCTTCCAGCTCTGGGCACGGGCTTGTTGTTGCCATCGTCTGGAAGTGATAATGGGAATTAGCAATTCATATTATTCGCAGGTGTGCAATACTTACAGCGTTTGAACGTTACCGTAAACGACGAGTCTTTCTTGGCCGCATTGGCAATCTTCTCCAGGCGGAGTATGAACTGTAAGCAAGTTGTTTGTTAGTCGTTTCGTATGGTTTTCCAGTAGCATTTCATATTACGTTCGAATTGTCGAGCAGAACCATATTTCGTGGCAACAAGCAGGAATGAGAAAGTGACACTGACAGTTGTTTTGGTATTTTTTAGTTCCTTTTTTGCGGTGAACCAGGGCTACAGCAATACGAAATTAAAATTATTTCAACAGAACAGTGACAGATTAAATAACTGAAATTTTCTGGGACAAACGGTACAAGCGGCATTTTAATAAAACCGGCTGTGTATTAATTATTTATCAGCATTCCACGAAAAGTACTCGCTGTTTAATTGTTTGACCAGGGCGTGAGCTCACACTTGAACCGGGGTGGCAGCACCGCCAAATTATTGGTTGAGAAAGCAGAAGGAGGAACGGAACGGGCCTGAAAAAATCGTAAAAACTACGAAAACTTACAAGTGCGGGGATAGAGCGGAAAGCTGTTGCACGTCGGACAATTAGGACACACTGGACTAACACTTCCACCGCCAGGATCGAGAGATTGTTGCAGCAGCGCTCTGCGAACGGTGGTGTAAGCATAATAGATAAAATCCAGCCGATCGAAAGCCGCCAAAGGAAGTGCCGCCCACGCCACCAGCAGCATCGGCCAGCGCCAAAAACATCAGCAGCAGCAGCAACAACAACGTAGTGGTAGTAACCTTCGAGCGCTCGCAGTAGTAAACAAAAGGCAACTAACAAAACAAACTTTTGGCAACATGGTGAGCGTGCCCCCAAAGCCGGCCCCGGCCCTTGAGCAGCTGCAGGACGACGACGATTTCGGCAGTCTCGGCGCATCATATACATATATACACGCACGCACACACGCTCACGCAAACACACGCACACGCGGACGTGCCTGGTGAATAATCGTGACATACAAAAGTGCCGTGCCTAGCGCTGCCGCCGTCGTCGTCGTCGTCGTCGCTGCCGCTGGTTGATTCACTGAACTTTGACCGAACGAACCTTTTGCTAACCCACCACCATCCTCCCTTTGCAGGACGTGTTCCTCATGATCAGAAGGCAGAAGACGACGATTTTCACGGATGCCAAGGAGAACACGACCGTTGCCGAGCTGAAACGTATGATTGAAGGTGAGCGAGCGTGTGTCGGTGTATTCTTGTTTGTTCCTATTTATAGAGCGGCGATTTGTTCGTAGATTTTTTATATATTTTTTTTGCATGAAAACAAAAATTGATTATTAAGTAATTTGATTGGTATTTTAGGTATTCTGAAAGTACAAGTCGTCGATCAGCGGCTATACAATCAGGACAACGACATAATGGACGATGACAGCACGTTGCAGGACTACGGTGTGACAGTCTCCACGGCGAAGGCACAGTCCCCAGCGCAGCTGGGCTTGACATTCAGGTAGGGAGCTCGCGCGCTCGCTCGCTCGCTCGAGTCGCTGATAAGCAGGTTATCAGCTGTCTGTGCACGTGTCCCTCCCCCCCATTCGAGACTCATTCGAAATCGAATCAATGGGTTGCGGATGCATAGATTGATTAATGGATTACGAGCTGGTTCTGATGGAAGAATATATTTTATTTTTTTTTTAGAAACGATATGGGCGACTTTGAGACACTCGATATGACACCATACTCAGCACCGCCCGACTTACCCGAAGTGATGAAAAACCAGGAAGCCTCAAACGGACAGGAGGCAGTTGCATAAAATAGAATCCAAACCATAAATAACATCCATCATGAGAAGCAGCAACAGTAGCAGCATCAACAGTAACAGGCAGACATTGAGAGCAGCTATCCCCCCTGCTATCCGTTGCATGCGAGGGATATAACTTGTCTTCACACCACAAACAAATTGGGGGATCTACTATCAGATCTAGATCTACGCTGTGGCTCTCGCTTGTCCCATACAAATATACAAAAAACAACAAAAACAAAACAGAACCGAAGAGTCAACGCTCGATGCAATGCAATATGTTTCGAATTGTACTACGATTTTTACTCTCTCTCTCTCTCTGCCTGGTCAAATATCTAAAGAAACCGCATTAACAACAAGAACACAACCAACATCTGCAGCCACAATAGCTAAATATGCATTTTTGTTCGTTGTTTTCTTTTTAGCAAGGAACAATTTGATTCTAATACAAAATTAATTGTACTTTGGAATGGGATTTAAAATTATCGGCTTTAACCTTTATCCACAATTTATTTGTTTCTTTTTTTATGGAATTTATACGAATTTGTTGAAGAAAAAAAAATACACGAAAGTCATAAAAAAATGCTATTACAATCCTCAATCCTCGATCCTACGGAGTCAGAAAAGCAGTGAAAAGCGGTGAATATTTCAACAAAATTATTGGGATCCTAACTATTTTATTATAGTTTATAATCAAATTATTATTTTTGTAATAATAAGATTTAATTATTATTAAAAAAAAACGAAGAAAGAAACAAATCAGCTAATCACTATCGCCCAAATCCGAGCCAGCGGCCGCCGTTGCAGCAGCCACCTCAGCATCATTGGCATCGCCGTCGTCGTCCTCTGCCCCGCTCTCGATGAACGAGACACTGCTGCTCTGCTGCAGCTCCAAATTCTCCAAGTACTCCTGCAGTCGGTCTTGAAAGAAGTTGATGTACGTTTGCTTCTGCTGCGCCGTGGCCGGAAAGTAGTGGCCGCCGCTGTGCTCCAAGACCTCGACGTTCTTGAAGTGTGAGGCCAGCGCAGCGCTCATGTCTTTGGGTATGATTTCATCGGTTAGGCCATAGATATGGAGGGTGGGGATGCTGATGGGCTCCTCGTAGGCGCTCATATGTACCAGGCTGCCGGACACAAAGCCCGAGGAAAGCACCGCAAACTCAGGCCGGATGGAGGTCACTAGAAGGGAGGTCCCAATTGACATTAACCAACAACCGAGTTAATCCGATCAAAATCTACTTACACTTTTTTTTGGCCAGACCGCATATCAAACCCACGAAGCAGGCACCCTGGGAAAATCCAAGGAGTCCTTGGAATGGCCCTTGCGTCTTCCAGGCCTCTTCCACAAGGCGCAGACTCTCCTGGAAGCCAAAAGCCGGTCCTCCTTTGTTCGTGCCCTTGAACGTGCCATCATCTTTGTTGGCCCACCAACTGCGTTGCTCGGGAACCGGAAGCGGCTCGGCAGCAGACTCTAGCGGTGCTGCAATGTGTGGCGCAGAGATGAATACAAATTCGGCATATTTTGATGCAAATTTTCGGAATGATCCTAGTTTGCTTTTGAAAGCATCGCCGTCTTGGCGGTATCCGTGCAGGCAAAGGACGCGTACTCTCTCGGTGATTTCCAGTTTCGGTTGCTGTTTACTGGAGCTGGCACGACTGGAACTGGGCGCCTCCACTGCTGCATCATTGTTGGTCATCTTGAGCAGTCCGTTTATCTTGGGTTTTATTAACAAAAAAGCCTCGCAAATAATAAATTTCAGGTTAACCAGCTGTGGCATTATCATGTGGCAACTCTCTGTTATCCGATATACTATCGATGTAACTCCAAGCGATGTTTACTGTAAAACCGAAAAGGTGGCAGCTCTACATCCATCAAATGCCGCATTTTTTACGTAAAACTTTTTAGCAACAAATGCAACAAGTTTTCTCTGCCTTTTCAATCGACAACAATACGTCTGTATTCTAAGCGAGCTACAAAAGTTTGTTCACAGCAGTTGAACAAAGCCTTAAAATGATCTATACAACAACGCTACTGTCGCGTGGGTCCATCTTCGGGTCGCTAATCAACAAAGTCAGGCAAGTTGTAGCCAAAAATCAAAACTCTTCTGCACTTCCTATTCAAATCGACAAACAATTTACACCCACAACAACATGCGCTAACAGACCCCTGGCCGCTGCCAACCTCAGCAACAGTCCCGTGCAGCAGTCAAAGACACTCGAGGAGCAAGTGGGTCTGCCACCACGTCCCAAGAAGCCGCTGACCCCGTATTTCCGATTCATGCGTGAGATGCGACCAAAGCTGATAGCTACCAATCCAAAAATTACCACCGTTGAGGTAGTGCGACAGCTGGCAAAGAGTTGGGTGGATGTGGACACCAAGATGAAGGAACGTCTGCAGGTCGAGTTTAAGAATGACCAGCAGGTGTACATTGAGCAGCGTACAAAGTACGACGCCACGCTGACTGACGAGCAGCGTGCCGGCATCAAGCAGCTGAAGCAGGACATTGTCGAAGCCAAAGAGCGCCGGCAATTGCGCAAGCGTGTCAAAGAACTTGGACGCCCCAAGAAGCCGGCCTCAGCCTTCCTGCGCTTCATTGTCAGCGAGCGCGTGAATACCCCGCAAACCCCACAGCAAACGTACCGTGAGTGGCATCAGAAGACGACGGCCAAGTGGTCACGCCTCTCCGATGCCGAAAAAGACGTCTACATTCAAGACACACGCAAGGAGCTCGAGATATACAAGTGGGTTATGATCCGATCACATGTACCTCAGTTGCTAATGTTTCATTTGCAGAAAATCAATTTCCGTTTGGGAGGAAAAAATGATACGCCTGGGCCACATCGACGTTGTGCGCCACGGCAACCTGATTGATCCCCCAGAGCCCAAGACCCGCAAGGCCCAGCCTGTCAAAGAGAAGTAATCTTCTCTAGCTTCTTGACACGTGCCCCCACGCCATCACATTTTTCCATTTCTTCATATTGTTTTTTCATCGCAAATTGTTTATGTTAATCATTAAAGTTTAAATGCTCGCCTAAGTACATATAATTTAGAATTGTTCCTGCAGCGCCCATTTAATGCTGCTGCTGCCAATGCTGCAAGTAAATTTTAGTAACTTTCTGAACTGTGGTGCATAGATTCAGCATTAAATATATAGAGTTTTTTTTTGAGAAAACCAAGCTAGAGCGTGTCTCAATCGCAGTCAGTTTTATGCTTAATTTAGTCTACAAAACAGTAATCTTTGACTCTGGCCAACACGTTGCGTGTGTGAGCAAGCACGTGGCATCGAGCAGATACAGCTACATACAAATTCGTGTGACTAACGGAATGGGAATCCGTTAGTAACACGTGTCTGAGTCTTACGGGGTTAAGATCACACTTAATATTCAGTTGATTTAACACGGTAATCGACACAGTTTTAATCTCTCTACGTAGATCACGGTAAACAAATATGCAGTTTGATTTGTCACCTCAAATGCGTAGAGTACAAAGGTTCTAATAATTGGTACAGTCAGACTGGTGTTACAGCTACTTATAGATGAAAACACTGCGTGGCTGAGACAAGGCACAACCGCTCGCTGCTCGATTCAATTTTCCAAATGAACGATGAAATGCCATGCTCGCCATGTCTAGGCTTGGCCTGGGAATCGGTTGGAATGCCGAAAGACTGGCATGATATTTCCGCTGGTCCGCTCTGGTCAGCACGCTCTCCCTCTCTCTTCGTTGCTCTGCCTGTCAAAAATTGCTGACTTCGGCGGTATACTCTGCATCGCATCCAAGGCGAAACCCAACAACAACATTGATAAGAGTATTTGAGATTGCAGGGAGAGAGGGTTTTTATACCCGTACTGGAAAGTGGATGTGTGCAACGCAGAGAAGGAAACGTTTCCGACCCCATAAAGTATATATATTCTTTATCAGCGTCAATATTCGAGTCTCTGTCTGTCTGTCCATTTGTCCGTCTTGTTTGTCGCCTAGATCTCAGAGACTAGAGCAACCAAATTTTGTTTCCCGACTCATGTGATATCACACTGCTACAAGTGTATTTCAAAATTTAACCTTTTCTGTTTAACTTAACCGTTCGCCAAGTTATAGGTGTATAAACTGGAGGGTTTCCGAATAATATGCGGCTTACTGTATATATTGACTGAGTACGGGTATAAGAGTAGCGTCACACGTTCCTCTCTGGAATGCTCAGCCAGGTGTTCCAGAAAGAGAGAGAGAGGTGAGAGAGCGCGAGAGCAAAGACAAAGAGAGGCTCTGGCTTTGCTTCCAGCTAATTCATCGGCTCTGCAGGTAGTGGAAGCATGACTTGAGATTTTTATAATTTTTGGTCATGCTGCTTGGGTTTCCCCTTGTTTTCCCCTCCTCCAACAACTGAATTGAAGACAAATGAAAAAGGTTTTCACCTAATTTAGAGACACATGATAATCTTCACCACATTTTCGAATGGCCAATGCCAAAGAGTTTTAGAGCTTCCCCCGCCACCACCCCAACGACCGCCACATTCTTAAGCAAGAATTTGAGTTACCTCCGAAGTTTTGACCAAATACCACGTTCATGAACTGGCAGCAACAGCGGAATTGCGCAAGCCGTATTGCCAAAACCTTGAGCTACTCCAAAAGCCAAAAAAACACACACACAAGAAAACAATTTTTTGTAATAGAAACTACAACAAAAAAAAAACTAACAAAATGCAACGCTAAATGCGGCAAGTGCCTCTGCTCTGCGCCTTAGGCTGGCCAATAAAATCTGTACATATACTCGTACATTTTCGGCAGAAACAGACAGACAGACATAACAGAAATGCATTTGAGGCTGGGAAACGGCTGCGCATGCGCACGATTAAGGCTTTCAGATAAGAATTGGCAGGCTCCTGGAACCTAAGCAGAAAATAAAAAACCTATTAAATCATACAAATAAATGCCACTCTTAGCTTTAAATAATATTATTTATGTCCCATGAAAATGACACCACAAAAAAAAAATCTATGAAAATGTCAGAATGATTTGCAAAATACGATGTCTGGTATCTTGTGCTGCTGCTATTACAGGTTCCTTGGTTCCTAATTAAAATTATTTATGCAGCATGAAAATTATGCCTAAATGTTTTGCAAAATTCCATGTTAAGATTTGGATTTGTTTTAGTATTAATTTTGTTCAGTGTGGAGGTTCTCCTCTGGGTCTCTGTAACCAGCCAAGTGGAACCATTTACGTATAATGCCTGCCTGCACTAGCGGTAGTACTTAGTTACTTACTTACTTGTTTGTATCTGTTTGTATTGTCTCCAGTAGCCGTATTTTGTAGATTTTCTATTAGTACGGACCAGCAGCTACTGCTGCTGAGCCCAATTTTCCATGCAGTTGGACCTGCTATTCCCCCCGCCCCCCTGTCAGGCCAATGCCCAGCTAAACAGCTTCAAGTGGAGGCCAACTTCTTTTTTTTGGGGTATTGCGCCATAGAAGTCTTATAAATTAGTAGTGAATTTTCGGTTAGTTTTCTGTTATGTTTATTCAACAAATTTTGTTCTTGGGCCAAAATAGTTGTCGATATTTTTCGTTGATTCCGACAGAGCTGCTACAGAAATATACATACAATACATACAGAATAGTTTCTTTTTTTTTGTTTTGTTTTTTCGTTTTCGTATCGATCTTTGCCATGAGTGGGGCATAAGCCTAAGACTTAGAAGCTAGACGGAATATTTACATAAACATACAATATAGTATATAGTAAAGTAGGTAGTATATAGAGTTAGATAATACGATGTACAAGATTGGAGTGGTCGACATTTAATAATTTAATACAATAATAGGTAGGTACAATGGAGTATGAAATTCGAGTCGTGGAATTTTGAAGAGGCTCTCTAAATGATAACTGAATCCGTGTGCTTCAGCTGATAACTGTCTCTTTCTAAACGTTACCTAAATGATGGACAATACATACATACACATACAATTAGCTACAAACAAAACGAAGTACAAAAGGATCACGTAGGGATAAAGCCATTACTACCCCAGAGTGGCTAGCCACGCTGCTTGCTGCTGCTGCTGCTGCTACTTCCTCCGTTGCCGTTGCCATTGCCGCTGCTGTTGCTGCTGCTGCTGCTACTGTGGCTATCCTCAGAGGGGGGACGCACCCAGCCACCATAGCGACGCTCCATCTCACGGGCCACGGCCAGGCAAAGATGATCCTGGCCGGGATTGGCCACCACCTGAATGCCCATGGGCAGATTGCGGTGATCCAGACCGATCATGCAGTTGGTCACTGGCAGGCCCAGCGTATTGAAGATGGCCATGTACATGGGCTCCAGCAGCTTGTGGTAGATCTGATAGTGCTGGTGCGCCGTATTTGGGAAGGTCGGGTAGAGGAAGACGCCGTCGTTGCCGAGCATCTCCTTGAATTCAGTCTTGAGCGCCTCGATGATGCTGGCCAGATGCTTGTGCCGCGAATTGGGTATGATCTTCATAAAGTTCTGCAGGTGGCCGAATATCACCGATGGCAGAATGCTGTCCGAGCAGCCAAAAAAGTACTTGACCGTCTCCTTGCACACGGTCTTGGGCTGTTCCCCCTCCTCGGTCTTGTGGTAAATCGTCTCGATGTTCTTCATGGTCAGCATCGCCGACAGAGAGATGTCCAGGGACCACTTCATCTTCCGTATGTTCACCCGCTCGGCATTGAAGTCGCTGGCCACACGATTGATGGCCGCATGCAGGTCCCGGCTGAGCGGCCGCATCATGCCCGAGGGCCCATCGTTGTCCATGAAGAAGAACCGAATGCCATGGGCACTGATCTCCTTGTCCAGCGTCAACTTTGGTCCCGTCGGATCGCTCATGCATTTGAGCAGCAGCGGCAGATCCTTGGCGTAGCGCGTCATCGGAGCGATGGTGAAGAAGTCTCCCCATTTGGGGAAATCGCTCGTCGGATGATGGCCGCGGAACGAGACGGCATACGGCGTGGGCTTGTGGCCCCAAATGCCGCTAAACATGGCCGGCAGACGCGAGGAGCCGCCAATGTCCGATGTGAGGCCCAGCAGCGAGGCGCCGCTCGCCAGCAGCGCTGCCTCTCCGCCCGACGAGCCGCCCGGCGTGCGCTTCAGGTCGTACGGATTCTTGGTCTGCCCCGTCACATTGTTGTACGTCTCCCAGAGCAGACACAGCTCGGGAGTGTTGGACACGAGCATTATGATGCCGCCACATCGCTTGATCTGCTCCACCACGGGTGCATCCGATTTGGCTATCTGCGGTGTCTTGAAGACCCGTCCCGCCTGATTGGTCATGCCCTTGACGGCGATGCTCTCCTTGACCGTCACCGGAATGCCAAGCAGTGGCGTATGCTCCTCCATCGACTCCACGCTGTTGATGCCCATCGCAATGACATTGTCTATTTCGCGGGCCTCCTCCAGCGCCTCCTCGAAACGATCCTGAACAATGGCATTGATCAGTGGATTCACCTGTAAAGAGTCACGTGATTAGCAAAAGTCCCCAGCATTCGTTTGCTCTCCTGGCCAGGGGCCTTACCTGCCGGCAGCGCTCGATGTAGGCCTCGACGACTTCTTCGCTTTTAATCTGCAATAAGAAAAGGGAAAATTGTTTGAACATTTCCGCCATTATTCGAGCAGCATTCACCACACATTCCCCACATTCCCCAGTCACATTAACCAGTACCAGGCAGAAACAATCAATTCTAGTCTATTGAGGCAGCCACAATGGCAATTTGTGTTAAATTAAAATCAATAAAAAAAAAGCAGCCAAAGCCAGCAACAAAGCCAAACCAAACGACTCTGGAATTGCATTCATGACGTTCACTTTAGCGGCGCGGCCACATGACGTATGAGTAATGCAACAACTGAATGGAGCGAATATAAAGAGGCAAAGACACGTTCCCCAAGCTGACAATAGATATGGGAATCGGTGGAAAAGTACTCTCTAACTGCACATGCCAATGATCGCCGAAGAAGCTCCTCGCACACCTCCAACCAAGTGAGGGATTGTCACTCTCTTTTCGTATAAGGGATAGGGATAGATCGGAAATGATAGGGCGCA